TCCACCTCAGCTGCCTCAACAATGAAAAAGAGAAAGAGGTGTGCAGCAGGGTGCATTGTGGATCGGCTGCCTGCTGTCTTCATTAGATTTCACCACAATAAACCCACGAGGTTTCGTATGATTGATGCTAACTCACAGTCGCGGCCCGTTAACGAGCTGTCACAGGAACGAGGTGAGGAATATGTCGAAATATCGAGATCTGTCACGAGGGGAAGAAATTCGTCTCACATGCTGATTAATTCAGAGGCTTTCCACAGTTTAGCTCGCAGCAAGTGCGCGTTATGATGGGGGTCTAAAGTCTGACACCGTGGGGATCATCCCATTTAGCAAAAAATAAAACGTTTAAATCAAATGGATTTTGCCGTGAGGGCGCGAAAAGCTGGGAGGTAAAATAAATATGCACATGGGAGCAACTGGTGTTTAGACATTCTCGCACCCCTGTGCCAACCAAGAACCATCCAATTGCCTAATGAACACTCCACCTCCTGAGCAACACCGCCCAGGAGAGCGCACATCACACTGAATCTACAAATATGCCTGTGAGGTAGAGGTGTAGCAACAGGACGCTGTGAGTTTGAAATGATCATTATCTGACTGTAATTCACCTCACACAGTGTCTTCCTGCCTCGTGCCTCTCGCTCTGCACTTCAACCCTCCCGGACAAAGTGCAACATTATTCACCCCTGAAACGTAAAAACACGGGGGGGGGGGGGGGGGGCACATGTTGCAACACCAAACGCCACCTGCCAGCAGCTCGCTGTCACTAACACGGTTTGCTCTGGAGCTGATCCCAGAGCAGTCAGAGCTCAGCAGAAACAGATGTCAACCATCAGAGGATGCAGGGAGCGAAAAATAATGGTTGAAATGATCATGTTCATCACTGTCAGTCAGATTTTGCTCCCCTGCAGTCCGATGAGAGCTCAGACGAGAAAGATTCATCAAATCCCTGAGCTTCGCCTCCTTCTCTTCTCCGACCTGTTGACATAATTACCTCAGCCAAGGAAGTTACCTTATCACCAGTTTGTGTGTTTGTTCATTGTTTTGTGTGTCTGTTAGCGAGATCACTCAAAAACTACTGAAAGTATTTCCAGGAAACTTTGTGGAAGGATGTGGGTCAGGAAAGAACACATTCAATTTGTTATTTTTGGGGGAATTACCTCCAGGATTACTTAAAGCTTATCTTAGGCTCAGGGTTTGGGTTCCTTTACGTTTAAAGAACGGATCAATGAAAGGAAGAATTACTTTCTGCTATTGATGCAATGAAAGACAGGAGGAGAGATAAGAACAGAAAAGGAAAATGAAAGGTGGAGGGGAGGGGAGGTATGAGAGGCGATGAAATGAGAAAGAGGACAGGACCAAGGGAAATAAGAGAGGAAGTATATGATGACAGAAGGAGGATATGATATATGATATAAGGATATGAAGGAAAGGTGAAGAGAATAGGAGGTGTTGAGGAAAGGAAGAGGTAAATGGTGATGAAGAAAGGGAGAAAAGAAGAGAAAGAAAGTATATGAGGAAAGGAATAAAGGAAAGGGGAAAGGAAGATAATGGCAGGCGTAGAAGAAAAGAGGAAATGGAAGGTAATGGAGGAAAAAGAGGAGAGGAAAAACAAGGCAAAAAAAGGGAATATTTGAAGAAAGAAAGGATATAACGGAGAAGAGAAGGAGGGATGAAAAGAGGAGAGAGGAAGAGGCCATCATCAGTCTGTTTATAACTCAGCTAAGCACTACTCTGCCACAGCTGGAGCTCGGAGAGGAACAAATGGACTCAATCGAACTCAGTGACACGGGTGGTGATTACTGTAGTTTGAAGTGCTGTTGTTTTGCAGCCAAAAGAGGAGACTGGTCGACAGAGATAGAGAGTGAGAGAGAAAGAGAGAGAGAGAGAGAGAGAGAGAGAGAGAGAGAGAGAGAAAGGCCTGTGAACAATCTACAGAAATTTAGAAACCTAATTCCTCTTTTTACCAAAAAGAACCAAGTACCATAAAAAGAAAAAAAGAAAAAGGCTCTTTGACAACCTGTCGAGGTGTCGGATGGATTTTCAGATCCACAGACGGATGAGTGATACGAGGTCCCATTGAAACATAATGGCAGATAACACAGAGCGAGGCCACAGACACTAAGGACATGACCAGGCATGAGGAGGTGTTATTACAGCCACAGTGATGTTACAGATCCCAGGCTTTTTCTTATTTATTCTTCTCTCACCATATTCTTTCTCTGCTCCTCGTCTTGCGTGCCCGCCCGTCCTCGTCTTCATTCCTCATTCCAGCCAGGAATATGTTTCTATCAGCGGAATCTAGTGATCGCTGTGCACATGTTTAATAGAGCAGAAGATCATTTAATGAGCAGTAGTGTGGAAAGGAAAATAAAAAAAAAAAAAATAGGGAACAGAATCACAGGGGCTGATTCTTTTCAATCTCGTTTTCTCTTGAGCTTCCTCTTAATGGAGGTCATGGGACAATGGCGCCTGCGAGATGGAATCTGCATGTATACACATCAGAAGGTCAGCGCTTGTAATCAGCCGTTGATTTTAGCTACATCCACACAACTGAACTATATTTTCATTTGAAAAAAACACCAACTCTGCTACAGAGCCTCCAAAAGAATCCTGGGTCTTAGCGTCCTTTGTAACAAGGCACAACGCTATCATCCAGAATGAGTCATCTAAAAACAAATCACACGTCCAGAGCGCTCAAAAATAGCTCAATTCAGCCACAATATCATGCTCGAAGAAGTGAGGCCATAATGGCCCATTTTATGTTGCCTCGAGGACGTCGACGGTAAAACACACGGCGCAGAATCACCAAGAAAGAGCTCTCCAGTCTGTGCCATCACTGACAATAACAGTAGCTCCACCGGGAACATTTAACAGTTTTTTTCTGCAGCCAGGAACGATGTGAAGTATGTAGACAAACCAATTTCTATAAAAGTGTCTGCAGGCACAGGCAGCTTGTTGATGGTATCAAGAAAGCGACAGGTGGGCAGATGGGATTGTCCTTTACGAGACTGGCATTCGCCCCCAGGATACTTAAACTCCGACTTTACAGCCCTTTAGATGCCAGTGTTGGCTGACACAATGAACATCCAAGTCAGTTGTTCCAGCGCCTCAGAGGAGAGGTTCACGTTTAATTTGGTGAAGACACAACTCCTGCAAGATCAATCGTAAGCTGCGTTCAGACCTGCACTGAAGTACAGACATTTTCCTGATTCAAAATATCTGAAAATGGTTAAATAGAGCCAAAGACATGACATAACTTCCTGCAACTAACTAATAGTAAGCTAGTAGCACAAACTCAGTACAAATATACATAGTACAATATTTTATACCCCCATTTTTGATTATTTAATTGTTTTTTCATGATACACGTTGGTTCAATATCTCCTAACATCCTGGTGATTTCAGCGTCGGAGGAACCTTGAGAGGAAAGCGAATGCTTCGTGTTTTATTAACGCAGTGACTCTGCTGGTGTTGGTTGACCTGCTCTTTTCAAACTGTGCTGTCTGAACGCAGACTCTGGTGGAGCAGCAATGTAATTATGGAGGAACAGGCATCTTAAATATAATTTGCTATGTTATATGGTCCAGCGACCACAGCCACTGGCCACATGTTGTTTTGAAACAGTGAAAACAGCATTAAATATATATCTGTTTGAATCAGTATCATGTTGAAAGTGTTTCTGTAGCTGTAAAAACACTTTGTAAAGTCACTGTGTTTCTATAAAGCTCTGTGTATTGAGTCGCCTGCTCGGCCTTTGGAAAGATGTCATACTTTTTTAGGTTTCGTGTTTAAATTAAATCTGTGAGTGCTATTTGTGTGGAAGCAAAAGAAACAGGATGAGAAGGAAACAAGTCTCAGAGCTATGCAGTGTTAAATATGAGCCACACTAGCTTCTGTATTTAAAACCTCATCTATTTGCTACAGTGGGATAACGTTTGCTTTAAGATCTGCTTCTATAACTTGTCTAGAAAGAGTTTTACACAATCTTACACAATTGAACCTCCCATCTAAAACTGATCCCACGTCCCCACCACAGACAATAGCTATAGAAAAACATATAACTTTAAATCAGAACAATTCTACAGGCTCATGAAACCAGCAAATATGAAGCTCTCAAACATGCTCACAACATGTAATATCAGATAAAGTACCATCATCTGAAAATTACTTTTCAGAATGATTTCTCTATATTACTAAACTCCACATCTCGTTCCGATGAACCATCCTATGAATCAGTACGTTTCGCAAAATCTTACCCTATAAATATCTTAAACATCAAAATGTAAAACATAAATAAATATATATATTTTGTGTGCAGGCTGGATTTACACTAAAGCCCAGTGTTAGAATTTCTCTGTGGTGATAATTTTCTGACAGTGAAGATTATCTGAATCCCCAAGAGTTAAGCTGACATTTTTCTTACAGTGTGACCTATAAACCTTTATTTTTCTTGATTAAATGAAACTGAGATCATAGTGCGTCACTTGTCATCTCTAACAGTCTGTCAGGATAATATAACTTTAAATATTTATCTTTTCACCATGTCAGGGAGACGCTGCCTGTCCTTCAACACACATTGGCTCTAATCACATGAAACCTCACATAGTTAACCGAGTGTTAATAAAGAACTGCAATTAAATATAATTTGCATTGTACGAATAATCTTCTGATATCATTTGATCAAGCGTTAGTCATTTGGTCGATCAGAAATCAGACGTCGGTAGAAAACATCCGCTGACCAAGATGATCTGGCCCAGGTGATCCTCAAATGTCATGTTTTAACCCCGAGATTCATTTTTCCAACTTTTTGAGGTAAATTTAAACAACTGCACAATCATCCAACCTGAATTTCTGAGATGACTTAAGCCTTTACCAAAAACACAACACAGACAAGACCAGCATCTGCTCCTTCGCCATCGCCGAACTCAATTTCTATCTTAACATGTCCCTGAGAAAACCTCACATCTGTCATTCATTCTCTTAATGTCTCCCCTCTGCAGCAACCTCACAGCATCGTGCAGCGTCGTCTGCTGGAGGGAAACATCACGCGGCTCAAGAGCGAGGCCCGGGACACCAGCGGCAGGGTCCGCTCCCCACTGGCCGACAACAAGGACGGGCCCGCCGACGTCGAGGAGAGGAGCGAGAGCACGGCCGACGACTCCACGGAGGAGAGGGAGTCTCTGGAGGAGAGCGAGAGGAGCCTACGGTCGGACGAGGAGGACGACAGCAGCGAGGCTGGAGCCAGACCGACGGCCGAGAAGAGCGAGGGCACGGAGAGGTCAACCCTCCTCACGGCTCTGGTGGTTCAGTGCAAGGTAGTGCGTCGTGTTAACTGAGCTCTGCCTGTCTGTCTCCACTCTATCAAAGATCAAAACAAGAGACGATACAGAAACTTCACCGTTGTGCTCATATAACTTATTAACACCTTCATTTAACCAAAGACCCCGTCGATACACATTCTCCACCAATCTTGACGTTCCACCCTGTTTTCATAAATCAAACTGAACTAATCTCTATAAATAGATTGTATATGTGAGTATGCATATGGTTTTCCTGAACCACTAATAATCCCGACACCGCCTCTATGAATACTGAGTGTATTTAAAATGAACATGGTCCACGTTTCTACTGGATTCAGCATTTCACCCTATTACTCATTGCACTTTGCTCGGTTTTATCATCAACTTGTTAAATGCAAAGTGTTCCTCAGTTACTCATTCTGCTGCTATTTTTAAATTTCACGGAGAGAGAGAGAGAGTTTTTTTTTTTTCTGCACCGCAGGGACTGAGACAAAGGAGCAGGTTTGTGGGCCTGCTGATAAGCCAGCGTGCCTGTGAGGACAATGAGGGCTCAGCTCGGTCTGTGCAGAGAGCGAAGGATCAAAACACGGCTCATGGAAACTGTTGGTGATTCATGTCCAAGGGGGGAAATATTCTGGGGTCAAGATACTGATTGATGACGGCGATGACATGGAAGAGAAAGATCTACAGACGTGTTGGATGAAAAAAAAAATCAGATTTGAGGAAAAATAACTTCTGCCCCCTGATTTTAATCCAGAATATTTTAAAAAAGATGTTAAATTCACTGGATCCTGTTCGTTCACACTCATAAATATTGGTCCCCTAAACATGCCTGATATTTTTCATCAAGATCCATGGATTACGCTCTGAGAAGGTTTTAAAACGGCCTGTGATATAGAAAGTGGTGACCACATCCTCACATCACGTTTCATGGAAATCGATTCTATCAAAAGCAAATTGAAACATAACCTCCATGTCAGAGGTAAATAAACATGCCCTGCATCTATTCACTGATGATTACTGGTTCAATTTATATCACATTCACATTTGAGAAGCTGAAACCTGCATGGAAATACTGAAACAATGAAATGATTACGTCCCCAAATACGTATTTAGACTGTAAGAACGTTGGTGCGGCTGTGGTTGTAGTTTATCTGACAGCAGTTGGCAAAGAAAGACTTTAAAGTAGCTGCAGACGTATTTGACTCAATAGTGGAAAAATCCATGCGTGGTCTAATCGGCAGTTAACAGTGTGGGGTCGGTGCGAGCATACTGCTTATCTCACATGCAGAGCGGCCATATGTTCTGTATACATTCCTCATCCTTCCTATATTTATTTTCCCACAAACATGTTTTCCGCTTGTAACTCTGTGTCGCATGACGTCAGCTAAGAGGACGCTGAACAGAGAGGGCACAGCAACAGACTCGAGTTCACCACTGCAAATCTGCTGCACAAAAGCTGAACCATGTCTTTGTGACACGAAGTGCCCCGCGGGCAGCCGAGCAGCCGGGAGACGCAGTAGCAGAAGAAAAGAAATGTCAGTGGAAACTGGGACAAACAGCCTGTTAGCATTTCAACTGCAATAATCTAACTTGAGTCCCAGAGAAATGTAAGAATACCGAATGTAGTTGCTTAGGAGGATTATGCAAAAAAAAACTACTCAACCAATTTCCCTAAAATATTTCTGCGGCGTGGAGCAGGACCCAAAGGAGAACGCAGATTTGAAAACAACGAGCTGAAAGACGCTACAGTGCTTGGTGGAGCTGATTGACTTTTTAATCACATCTAGTGCGTGGAATTGTTTGCTCGACTAACAAGTTGAATGTGAATGTACAGTATGACTCACACGGTCGATATTTCAGGCTCTGGTGGTGCATGCGAGATCATTAACTCTGAAAAATCAAAGTGCACTAAAGTAACTACAGAAATCCTGTCGGGAAATGTGAGTCAGCAACATGAACTTGACACATCGGCAAAAACAATCACAAAAACAACTTGTGATCCGTGATGGATACCCTCGTTGGTTTATTTTTAACTTGAATATTAAGTGTTGGGCTGCTCAACCAAACACCTGCAGCATCGACTGATTTAAAACTCCAGGGCAGAATCAGTACGGAGGAAGTTAAACACACGAAATAACATCTGATTTAAAAACAAGAGCTAAAACAAGAGCTTGCTTGGAAATACTCCGTTGATTAAGCGTTGATTTGGACAGTTTTTTTTTTGTTGGGCAGTTTCACAAAGTGGATTCATTCAAAAGAAAAGATATCAGTGGGTTTTAGCGGCTCCCCAGTGTTGTGTTCATGTGCTGTAGGTGAATGATTGTTTCCACGTGTGCGGTGGGGACAGACAGAAGTGGAAAATCCCCCTGTGACACCGAAATCCCCTCTGTCTTCCCCACAGTGCTGCGAGACCGAAGTCAACGCATCCATCAACACCGGCAGCCAACACAACCACATCTCCACCTCCTGCTGCCAGAGGCTGGGGTAAGAAACACATACATGACCTGCTGTAACCTATTATCTATTAATATGTTCAAGCAGTTTGGACAAATCAATCAAAGCACTAGAGTATAAAAACAAGGAACTATATAAAGACAAAAGGATAGGGACTGGATGGAAAGACAATTTGAGGAGAAACTGGATCATTGCAGCTTGTAAGCTTTTAATTTAGTTATTTTTCCAGATGCTTAAAGACCTGACATCACCTTCGTCTTTAAAAAGAGACATTTAAATGCCTAATAAAGCTCCGTCGTCAGATCAGAGTGTGAAAAGGATGAGACGTATTGTTCTCGCCCTAATTTCAGAGCAGCTCTAAAGGTAACAGGTGAATAGTAAAAGCTGCAATAATAGTCTTCAGGATCAGGGCTAATAAATTCTCAGCGGCACAAAAGACAAAGTGATGGAGAAGAGGAACTATTTTTCTGAGAAATACTGAATCTAATCAAATGAAATGAACCAAAAGTATTTGAACGATTGAAGATATAGTTTTATGTGACTGTGTATTTCTGTGTGTTATTAGATTGGTGCCCATTCAGGACGGTTCACCCTGTGGTTTGAGCGGCTCAGTGACGGATCTGCAGCTGCAGCTGGGCAGACAGACGGTCCAGTGTTCAGCTTATGTCAAAGGTAAGAATATAAGATCACACTGTGAGAGGAATGATGCAGGGATTACGTCTTAAGTTAGTATTGGATAAATTAAATCATCACCGAATGATGAGGCACCAATTCTCCTTTTAAAAATCCATCCATGCAAAGAGAAAGTCAGGGGATGATGAAGTCAGAAGTACTTCTCGTCTGGCAGCCATGACCACGTGGACTAAATTTAGTTCCAATCCATTTACTAGATATTTTGCTCTGTAAGTGAAAACTGTGACCAGCTGGTGGCGCTAAATTTAAATCAGTAGATTATCAAAGTTATGGGGATTTATCCTCTGGGCACCGTGGATATTTATACCCAATTTCATGGCAATCCATCACATAGTTGTTGAGACATCTCACTTTAAAAGTACAAATATAGAGTGAATGCTAGCACTGCCTGCAGAGTGTGAATATTTAAACCATATTTTAGGGTAATTCATTTACTAAAAGTTGAACTGCAGCTAGATTTATTAACTTTATTAACGTGCTAATTTACAAACGCAACCTTTAAGGTTATTTCTCAAAGTCAAAACGAACGACATGCGAGTTCTTCTGCTGTGTTACTTCTGCAGAGATTGAATTAAAAGAGATTATGAGTTGGACACGTGGTCGTCTCTGCACTTAACGCTACTCGTGTTCTCTCAAAACACCCGGGCAGAAATTAGCAATAAATAAAACAACAGCCAGATCGACAAGAATAAGTTAAACCAGGTCGATCGATAAAGATCGCGTGAGTCATGAAAACTCGACCGTCACCACAAAACAAACAATTTGCCAACAAACATCATGAGCAGAGAATCCTGCTCAGGAACTCGTCTAAAAACTAAAATCAAACACAGATAAAGTGTTGTCAGTTATAAAAGTCCTGAGCATGAGAAGGAATCTGATTAATCTCAGTCTCTTTGCATCACTTTCCTTCTCTGGATGTGAAAACCACAGTTTATTTTTGTCTCGGGTACAAAAAAAAAAAAAAAAGTTGATGATTTCCTTTTAAGGACACTTTCCCTTAAACTGACTGATCACGTCAGTAAATCAGATTTCATTTGACGAGTGAGAACCATGAAGGCAGCACAGCAGCACAGCAGCACAGCAGCAGCAGTGGCAGGGGTTATAACAAACAGCTCCTGTGTGTTATAACAGCTCTGTTGATGCCAGGAGCGTCTTTTAGTTGTATTACTGAACAACAACTGCTCAAAAACATCCTGGATCTCCTCCTCAATCTCCTCACCAGTAAAGAATGACTTTAATTCAACGTCTGAACCCAGCACCTGACTCCTTCATGCATATTTAATTCTCACTCTGCTCCAAAACTCTCACTTTGATGCTACAGAACTCACACACGTCCTCGCACGTACATATGCTTATCAGGGCTTGTTAGTGCAAGATGGAATAATTTACTTGTTTCACCTGGTTGTGAAGCTAATTTTCACACGAGGGTGTTGATGAATGGGAACCAGAGTGATTCTGTTTCTTGCTTTCCTCAGTCTCTGCCCTAATCTTTCTTCTTTTACCACTTTCAGAGGATGAGGCGTTTGAGCTGTGCCTGGGTCTTCAGACTCTGCTGGAACTCAAAGTAGGTTTCTCATTTGCTTTGCTAATATAATAATAATAATATATATGATGTGTGTTTTTCGTTCATAAAAAGAGCTACACCGAAATGAACACATGGCTTTGAATAGGAAAAAGGGAAAAATAAATGCTGATGGAAAAATGAAGATTTAATGGCAGATGATGGAGGGAACAAGTACAAAGATGTGCTGTAAGTGGTGTTATAAGGCAAAGGCCGGGTAGTGCTACTTTCCATCTGCAGCCTGCTGTGCATGTAGAACCCAGATAAGAGCGAATTGAGGACGATGAGAAATCTTCAATCTTCACATTTGAGAAATGCAATTTAAACCCCCCCGAAGAGACTATCTGGCAAACTGAAGTTAGTGCTCTCTTTAACACCAGTGCTGCGCATGCTAATGTTAATTAGAGTGGGGAGTGGAGGATAAGAAATGAACCTGCGTGCTCATTTTGTAAATTAGCCCTAAAGGATGTTGTAATGTACGAAAAACATTTTCCTCCGAGCTCCTAACTTTCATAACCAACTTAGTAATTAATTATAATTGACGCCATGGAATAGAAAGACAGATGATGTGACGGCTCCTTAAAAGTGAAGCCAAAGGATCTTGATCGCCCCCTGTTGGGTACTTTAGGTGGATCTTGTGTGTTGCAGTGTTTTTCCCAGTAAGTTTGGTTTTAGTTGGTTAACACAGGAACTAATGAGTTTCAGTTGTCATGTTAGAGTAAAAATGATATTTCCTCTCACAGTGCTGCTTGGACCTGAGCAGCCAGGTCCTGAAGCTGCAGGGATGTGGCGAGGAGCTGCCCTTCCTGAACCCCTCCATCGACAGCCAGTGCCAGCACGACACCAATGAGAACCTGTGAGCCCCGACCTCGAACGGCGGCGATCGCTTCCTCGAGTCCCGACCGGTCGCAGCAATGTGGCACGATGCCATTTTAGTTTTTTGTCTGGACCATCTGATGACAGTGCCTCACGCTGCCCGAGCACGGACGAGCATTCGCCGCCGCCGTCGTCCTTGAGTTTACATCATCGTGTTTGTCGAGTGGAGACATTCACCATGATTATCTCTTCTATTGATTTAGTCTAGTTCACAGAGCGGATGATGGCCTGCAGTTATGAGCCGATCCGACCTCTGTGAGTCTAATCATTCTTTGTTATTCTATGTATTCAGACCGATTCCTCGGCTGAGCTCAGGTGCACTGATGCTCTCCAAAAGGGAAAAAAACCATTATAGTTATTTAAAGTGGAATTCAGTGGAATATTTTGTGATTTGACTGTAAAAAAAAAAAACTTTTAATCAATGACAAACGTGTTAGTTGTAAATCTTTCAGTTTAGATGCTTTTAAAGGAATAGTTTTACATTTCGGGGAATCAGCTTGTTTATGATAAGTCAGATATGAAGGTTGGTGCCACTTTCAAGAGTGTGCAGCTGCAGCCATTTAGCTAACAACTGCAAATAGAAGGAAACAGCTGGACTGACTCTGTCTCATGGGAAAAATGTATTATTATGTTTTCAAAGTACCCTTGGATAAGAAGGGCTGAATTAAATAGAAACAAATACATTAAGTTAATTTGTGAGATTGTTCACTAATGATCATTCCTAATATCTGCAGACTGCAACCTTATATGTACAAGTTATTCATGAGAGTGGGTTCAATCTCCTCAACATCAACTTGACTGCAAATAAGCGCATATTTCCTAAAATGTCAAACTATTCCTTAAAGACTTAACATAAAATACTCATCTATGCGGTGGCGGTACTCAGGATGCCCTTTCCAGTGTGTTCAAGGGATATTTTGAGAAGTCTTGAGAAGTTATTTGAAGTCTTGTGAATCAGGCTACCTCCTCCTTGAGAAACAGGGACGGGTTCTCATGTAGAATTTTAAAATAGACGAGTGAAAAATACCAGATTTCTGACGTACTTGTATTCAGCTTAGCCCCTTTTTTCTTTTCCTATCGAAGAGACTGATGTGGTTACATTTTCCACGAGCACACTTACAGTTTGTCATGATGGCGTAGACTCAACTGCAGTATAGTTCTCTAAAAAAGACCTCCTGATGAAAATAGACTTCAGGCCAGCCGGACAAAGATGTTTGAGTCAGACTCAGTTACAGGAATATCAAAACATTCCATCTGCATGACTTTGTAAAGTTCTGCCTTTGTATAAGTCTGCATGTTTGTGTACTAGTCTGATTGTGTCACGTTGAACGTCTGAAGGGGCTGGATGTGTGTGTGTGCTTTCGTGTGCATGTACCGCGTGTGTGTTAGGGGTCAAAAGCGAGGGGGGGTTTCCCGCCTCGTTGTTGCTCTGGTTTCACATGAGGGGGGGAGAAAAAAAATGGCCCTATCTGCCCCGGCCGGTCCACCGAACTCCGGTAAGAACAAGCTGCCAAAAGCCGACTCCCGCTGCCTTCCCTCTCTGCCTCTTTCAGGAGATTTTAATCGCTCGGCTGTGCCAAGGCCCCTCTCCGAGCTCATCTCTCTTTATTCAACCTCCTTCATGTACCTCCCACCTTTTTTGGCCGACGTCACTCATCCGACACCTCATGTTTTGCTGATTTGCCCGGCCACAAGCAAAGGAGAAGTGCTCCCTCCACTACAGTGCCACCTGCCTCTCTCGTCTCTCTTTGTTTCCATAGTGTGGCGACTGAAGAGCTGCCTCAGTCGTGCTTACAGGAGGACATCATGCTCTGCTCAGATAACGCCTGAGCCGTGTCACGCTGCAGTTTCCATCTAACCTCCTCTGACCAGGAGTTTGTCCACACGTAGATTGACGATGTTACGTTTCTCTTTGCTGTACTAGTGACCTTCCTACGCCATGTGAGAGGAATCGATGTATGACAGAAATTTATTTTTGGTGTTTCCCTTCTTCTGAACAGTATTTTCTCTGCCTAATAAAATATGTATTCTGGCTAGCTCTCTTTGAATTCATAATAATTGAATAAAACTGACGTGGCACAGAGGAGAGATGGGACCATTATGTGAAAGGGCAGCTACTTAAAAAGCTCTAATCTCCATCTTTGTGAAGAATGTGAAACAGCAGAGTAGTTGTGGGAGGTTCTCCACTATAGAGCCGCCGGTTTCTAGTTTTCCACATTGATTCCCATGGTCTGGACGAGCACCGACCCTCCTGTATGTGCCCTTCGATGGTGCATCCTGCTATATTAAGAAGCTTGTCATGTCAAAACAGAGAAAGCAGATGTTCCCACAGCAACAGGGGGCTTCGCCAATTGACCATCGAAGATTCCCTCCTCACTGTTCTGCCCTCGTCAAGCCTGACTCAAATCCACCTCTATGCTTTATTACAGATGCTCCTGTGATAAACACAGAAAGAGCAATAATACACGACATAATGAATGAGACTAGATGGTAAAACTAGTTGTTAGCAGGTAAATAAAGGTCTCACACAATACTAATACTAACCCTACTACAACTACAACTACTACTACTACAACTAATAAAAAATACTTATGATAATAATAATAATTACGATTCACTGCCTTTTTCCCCTCTGAGAAACATTTTCATTAGAATTTCATTTCTGGTTAGACGCGGCTATTTCCCCTAAAAAAAAAAACAAAGTGCCTTAATCTTGTCAGAGCTATCATGAAATGCTGTTTATTCGCTCCAGCTTCACGTGACAGGTGTCAGCAGCAGCTCGTCGGGGGAACACAGGGGGAAAGAACATTGCAGGAACTTTAAATAACAACGGAGCTGGTTAGAGAAGATCCCCTCCTGTATCTGCCTCTGTCTTCAGTCACCACATCCTGCTCACACTGCAGCAGGTTACACCTCTGCTGGGAAAGTACCACCATGCAATGCTCTCACAAAAAACACGATGAGGCCGCGTCACTGCTCTTTGCATCGGTGCCTCCAGGCAAAATGCACTGCAGATGCTTCATCTCAAAACCACAACAGACAAAACAGGTCATTGCAAGAAACATGGCAGAGGGAGTGAGGTGACTTCTTGACCTCAAGATGAACGATTGGAAGCAGCTAATTCTGTAAATCTGTCATGAGCAGCAGAAGTGTTGCTTGTACAGCAACGTGTCGCATCCGCTCAAGACCTCCGCCAAGATTGAAGACAAGCGTCGCTCAGGCTCTACCTGCCGCAAACAGCTGCATCAGAGTCACAGTAACGCAGTGGTGTCGCACTGACCTATGATTTCAAGGTTGTACATTGAAAAGCCGACAACAACTTTTTGTTCGGGACTATTTTCAGTGATGGAGTTAGTAAGTATTTTGGGCAACATCCAGTACAACAGCGTGGCTCACTGATAGAATCTCAATAGGTTTTGGACAACAAAAAGAGCTATTCTTATAAAGTATATCAATATTTGACAGCAGGTCATAAATATACACTTTCATCTTCTGTGGTTCAGAGGGTTTTTGTTGAGGACTATTCTCAGCTGTGGAAAATTACACATTTTTTGATCTAGTGAGTCTTTAAAGCAGCATGTAGACGTGTAAATATGCAATAGTATGGCTCACTGGAAAATCTTAGGAAAATATATATATCACAATAAAATATGTCACCGTAGATATTTTTGTAAACTCAACTTAAAATGAAAATGTCTCAAATATGCAGATCAGTGCATGTGAAACTATTGATTTGGATTTCTGCTCCACTTCACATGATTAAGAATCTGTGGAGGGCGAGTGTGTGGGCAGGAGGACTTTTCCTTTGTCACAGACCTTTGATACGAGTCCACAGCCCACTCGTCCGTCCTCCAGAGCCTCATCACAGCCTGTTCACTCCCGCACCAGCAGGTCTGTCTGCAAGTCAGCCAACATGAAATGATTTACTCTGCCTGCGACCATAAATAGCTTTCTGTCTCCTTTTGTCTTTCACAGCATCTCCTCCCTCACACACACACACACACACACACACACACACAGTGCAGCCCTGCTGGGTAGTCACTCAGTGGGACTGACCCATGAGCGTTAACCCCAGAGAGTGAGGTAGGAGTGTTGTGAGGGGGATATTGATCTGACCCTTTTCCTCTATGGTGATGCAGCTGTTACTGGATGTATGCAACATGCAGCTCCAGTGAGTGGGAGGTCCCAGGGTCTATAACAAGACAATGAAAACTTTTAAGCTCTTTAAGCCGTGAATGAATAACAGGGAAATTTACAGATACAAATAGTGAAAGAGTAACTGTGTGAGGCTGCAGAGAACAGGACAAATGGCATGTTCATGTCGTTGCAAATGGAATTCGCAAGTGTTTAGCCAAGGTACCATGAAATGCATATTTTTCTGAAACTGCTGATATGCAGAGCAATATCCTGTTTTGAGAAACCCGGACATGGCACCTGGATATTACCTAGTTTCCCCAACATGAGGTGTTGGAATATAAGAAAACCTGGAATCTAGTGACAACATAACAAGACGAAATGCGTCGCTCTCCTTCAGATCACATCCTTGAGTGAAATCTCTGATATGTTGCCAGCAGCAATGATCCAAATAACAATCACACAATAGACGACATGTCTGGAAAAGCCTACAGCAGGGGGAAATTCATAAATCACCTTCAGTCACAGCCCAGCTACAACTAGACATCTCTCTTCTGTGATAAATGCTCTTTGTAAATGGTTCTGTTCTGCATCTTAAAAAGACTCAACACATAAAGGCCACACGCACAAAACTGTGTGATTATTAAGATTCTATTCAGCCTCTCGTGGACAAGCTCTCGTTCTTGACCTCAAAGCGACGCTGAGCATTAAAAAGAAGCATTATTTCCTCCTCCACTCATCAACACTCTGTAAGAACCTATCCCTGCATGCCTAAAATGTGTTGCATGAAAACCAAACACTTTCCTACGACTGCGTATAATGAAGCCTGACGCAGGCAAAATTGGTTGTTGTTAATCAGTGGTGTCAGTTGCCTCAGCCGCTTGAAGCTGTTGATGTCAAATGATGGCGCTTGCGCAGGCAGGGGGTCCAGCTGTCTGTCAGTCAGGATCAGACCCACATTACCACACCCACCTCCCACTGTGTGACCAGGACGAAGCATGGACTCTGGGCAAAAATCTAAAAGGGGGGGGGGGGGGGGTGATCATGTGAACAGCCAGGAAGGAGAAAACAGCTTCTGTGATGATGTATTATTACCTCCACCAAGCAGGTCATGTCTTCACCCCTGTCCGTTCGCTGTCACCAACAACACTTGGTGGAAAAATGCAGCAAAAGCCATCTGATGTGGTGAAGCTCCATACACACAGTGTTTTCAATTAAGATCAATCAGCATTTGTTCGGTGGCAAGATCAGTGGTTCTCAAACTAGGGGATAGTTAGAACCCCCTGCGGCGACGCAAGATGATTTCCTGAAGCTACAGTTGAGCAATAATTGTTTGAAACAGTTAAATTCAAAATAAAACTCCATCCAGTTGGGCCCTGAGGTGATTACGACAGGTTACAACAGATGAGTGAGATCCAAATAAAAATCTGGATCCAGTGAATTTAAATGTGGTTTCATTTGGGGACTGTTCGACATTCTGCTTATGTTTTTATAATAGATTATTATTACACGTTAGCAGTATTTTTTAGTTTTGTTAAGAAATACCTCCACATGCATGGGCAACATTTTAGGCCTTAAAATATACTTAAAGTACATATCTGCTGTGAAAAGTCAACAAGAAACAAGTTGTTTTTAAGCCTAGACCGAAACAAACTCTCTCCATAGCTGTGCAAGAAAACCACAGATTTAAATCAGTAATTGCTGGCACATTATTCTAGGGGGACACGAACCTATGACGTATTTATCATTTCATTTGGACGAGCTCGCTGGAGAAAATGAAACAAAGTCTGGAGGAGAAAATCTCTTGACGTGTGAGGGGACACAGGCCGGAAAGGTTAATACCCGCTGAGTTAATCTTTAACAAAGCACTTCTGTATTATTTTATCTTCTAAAAAAAAAAACAAAAAAAAACTAATAACTAGAAGTAGTGGAGTAAAAAGCATATTGTTACCGTCTCAAAAGTAATAGAGTAAGAAGTAAGAAGTTGGTTGCATTATATTCTTCTCTCAGGTGTTGTGGTCGTCTCTCCCACGCTCCCGCAGCGTTTATCACATCTGATGAGCTTTAACAAGAGAAAAATCATGATTCACGTTGTTCCGAAGCCCACACACGATTATCCTCATGCAAACACAGCATTCATCAGCATTGTACTGAAGGTGTGTGAGACGTGTAAGCTCTGCGAGCGGATGAATCACTGTCCGTCTTACCCTGGTTTAACATTGATTTTACGAAATCACAATGGTCGCAGATATTTCTGTGAAATAATTTGCAGCGAAAAGAAAGTTATTTCTTCAACTAGACGCCCTCCCACGCTGCTTAAGACAGGAAAGGACTCTTATAGAGATAATTGAAGATCATGCTGCTACGGTGGAAGGACAGACAGCACAGATTGTGCTATTTTGAATTAAGAGACAGTTCTTTCTGATTATAACAAAAATGATTGAGAGGAGTCGGCACTATTCAACACTGGCTGACATTTTAGATGATTAATCCAAAAATAAAAAATGGCCAGACAGGAATATCCTATTTCTTATTCCCCCACACAACCCTATAATCCTCAGGAAAATAGTTTTTGAGAGCTGTGATGAAGCTCGATAGCAGATGATTGTGATGCTCGGGTAACAAGCTAATGTGAGACCTGGGGTCACTGGGTCTTGCTGCAGCAGAGAACAAAAGCTGCAGAGTGCACCGTGCTTTTCTTCCAGCATGTCAAGAGAATGTCTGAGATTGTACATGTTTACAGCTCTGACGGCAACTGACTGACTATACTGTGACCTGACAGTGGAGGCTCTCTGTGTGTGTCTGTGTGTGTGTGTCTGTGTGTGTGTCTGGGCTGTCAGTTCACGTTCATGCTAACGGAGGAGGTTTTCTCATTTTGAAAGGCTATATTTCATCTCGAGAATTAAGCTTTCAAGACGTTGGAAAAGCAGAATCCAAATAATTATAATTCCTTCCATATTTAGTCCATTATGTTTGTTGTTTTTTTTAAACACCTTAACTAAATGTATATGAACTATATGTGACACAGAGCAAAGCTGCAGGATTCATTCAGAGGAGAAGAGCGATCAGCCTCAAGGGAGCGTGGTTTCATGCTGTCAGGTTGCATAGACGGGTTCATGTGACGGGTTTATTACTCACCAACGTGTCTCATGGACATAGTCTTTTATAGATATTAAATCCAGGATACATAGACTCAACCTTTTCGGCATGCGGCCTTTGCAGAAAAGCTTTATCTCACAGTAAATGTCAGAAATTGATCTTTGACTTTTACTGGAATAAACAGCAGTATCTCAGTGGTAAGCTGTTGGGATTGATTTACTCTCACATTACCTG